AGTTTGAGGTTTCATGCTAGAGGCATGACTAATTCAATCACTGGCCACCTGGTTGAACTCAATCTTCAACTCCCTTCCTGTCCCCAGAGGCTGAACTGGTTCAAAGCCTCTAATCACATTATTTCATCTTTCTAGTGACCAGTCCCCTTCCTAATCATGTCTTCTCATTAGCATAAGCTCAGGTATAATCCAAGGAGCTCATAAACAACAGACTCTACTGTTACTTCAAGAATCCCAAAGATTTAGTCTTCCTCCCAGGAACCTGGAATAAAGGGCAAATTCTTTATTATTCAACAGACTGAAATGCACATTTAACATGGGAATGAGGTAGTCACAGGTGACTTTGGAAAGAATGGTCAGAGGATAAAGTAGCCAGACTGCTACGATTTATAACATAGATTAGGGGTATGGAAGGTGAGAAATGTGTAAGAAGTCGATCACCAACAGGAGCATAAAATGACTAGAGGTGCTGGAGTACAAAGCTGAGGTAAGAAGGATGTACAAGTAACTTAGAAAATGCCTTCTCCCACCAGGAGCAATACTTAGGAGGTTCCTTTGCTGATATAGTCTCATTTGAGTTATCCTATTGTTAGTGTTCTTAGAGTCAATGTAATATTTAACCTGTTGGTCCTTCTTAAAATTATTCTCACTTACCTTTGATTTCTCCACATTCCAATTTATTTTACTCTTTCCAACATTTCCCTTATAACAAAGTCTTCATTGCCACTTCTTTATCTGACTTAATTATGCAGAAATATGCAAGTCATTCTGACTTAGAAAAGATTATGGACTTCTAATTTTGGTAATATGATAGACCAGGTATCTTGAAACACCTCTTTCGCTAAAAAAAATAATAGTATAGGAGAGAATTTTACAAACAGCCTTTTAAGAGTATGTCTGGACTCAACCAATCACCTAAGAGTAAAACAACCTGATAGCTAGAAATCAGAGAAATAAGACGGCAAAGATGCTTTCAGTTAAAAAGAGGCTTTAGTTTTAACAGATGAGAAGAATGAGGACTAAGACCTTGAGGGTGTGCTACTTGGTTATAACTGTAATTTCCACACTAAGACCCATAAAAGGGAAAGTCCCTCATTTAGGTAGTTGGGGCAAGGGAGGAGAGACAAGTGAAGGAAAACAGCAAGCAAAATTATCTTTGCTTGGGATCTCAAAGGGCAGGGACAGTTTTCCCTGAGAAGTTATAACAATAAAGCTTGGCTTCATGTGAGTTTAGAGTTTCATTTAACATTACCACAGAATCTATAAAACTTCAAGCCAAGAATTAATGTAAAGTTGTTCCAAGTTAGTGAAGCCCTTAGGATCCCTGGCAGAAGGAATAAAAATCCATGCCTCAGAAACACACCCTTATCCCATGTTCACAGAACTCCTGATGATAAACTCTTGCCAAACATGGGCTTACAATCCAAATTATAAAACAAAGGAGGAAACAAATTATGAACAAAAGTAAACAGAAATGAAGAGTTAGTGAATTAAGCTACCAAGAAGTACTATTGGCTATAGTGTATAAAGTATTATGTTCAGAGCTTAAAAGGCAAAAGAATTAAAAAACAGAAAGGAGATTAATCATACATTATAAGGGACAAAATGGGACTCCAAATAATTTCAAAATGTTGGTTTTAAAAGTCCTTAAACAGGATATTAGACAGAGCTAAAAAAAATGAGAAACTGGAAACAAGTTACCTAGGATGCAGCATACAAAAACAGCAATATGAAAGAGAACTTAGGACACATGAAGACTGGATAAGAGTGTATCATACGTACAGTATACATAAGGTGAGGGGAAAAGAGTTGTCAGGACCAGAAATGAGACAGAATCAATATTCAAATTAGATAATTATTCAGATTTTTCTAGAGTAAAAATATGAATCAACTTTCATAAAGGACAATAGATCCAAAGCAAGGGAAAAAGTCTATATAGACACATCAGAGAGACTAAACACATAGGAAAAATAAATTATCTCAAAAGCATTCAGAGAGAAAAGGCAAATTACTTTCAAAGGAATACAATTAGGTTGGTTAGACTTCCCAAAAGCAGCATAAAAGCCAGGAGTCAGTGACATAACCTGATTTCAAAATAGTGAGGGTGGGGGAAAGAATTGTAGACTTAGAATTCTATACCCAGAAAAACTATCATCATTAATGTAAGACAGATATAATCCTGATGGAATTTGGTCCCGACCTTATGGAAGCCATCTTGCCTCCCTGTAGGGCCTGACAATGTAATATAGGCAAAAAGTAAAACTAGGCCCTTGTGACACTTTTGAGCTCTACAACCTTAATTGCCAGTCTTAATCGTGGACATCTGAGTCTCTTGAGGCATTCTCTTTACCAGTTTAAGTTTTTTTAATTAAGCAAAATGGAACATAAATTAAAACAGTTATTGTTAGCATACATAACCCACCCCTCCCTAAAGATAATCACAGTGTAGCTTGTTCAGAAAATGTGTCTGAAAGGGACCTTTAGGTAGAACCTGAAAATTAATACCTGTGAAGAAAAATCATCAGTTAAGGAGTCTGTAGAAAACTAAGATAACAAAAGGCAATGAGTTAAAAAGGAGGCATGGAAAACTGTCTGAACACTGTGTGACTGTGTTTATGTTGTTATGATTGTAAGTCAGTACAGTGTGAGAGAACTGGCAGGACATAGTGCCTGTAGTTAACTGAGAATACTGGGACACTATCCTAATTGTTTTAAGAAAATTTAAAATAAACCAAAGAGGTTACAGGATGTCTGCAATGGACAACTACATGACTAATAGCAGACTCTTCCAGATTAGCTGAATCTAGCCTTGGGCTCTTTTACAACTTTCAAAGTTGTAGATAACCAATAGCAATGCAAAACAATTCTTACCTATAAACATGCAAATAAATTATGTCTACTGGAGTTTCAATTGACTCTCCCATGAAAAAGTCAGTTTTCTATTTTAATTCAATTCAACATCCCTTTTTACTTTGTATAAGTGTTTTTCCGGATTCAACTTCAAACCAGTTGTAATATCTGTCTGGTTCTCTCATTAATAAACTTGAAAAAATTATTAAACATGGATGTATATAAAACTCATGATTTTACCCTTTATGTTTTAACACCAACAAAAATAAGGCAGTATTTCTAAAAGAAACCGTATATCTGAGGTTTACTTAAACAAGTTGTAACGTTTTATTCTGAACCAGCTTCTTAATCAAACCAGAAAATTACAGATTTCATTGAAATATAATTTGTTTCATTTAAGATGCATTATGTGAGTAAACCTTACAAATTATATTCCAAGAAACAATCTAATAGGTACTCCTTCAAATCTGCAAAAAGTAACTGCTATGTATTTTAATATGTTCTATTAAATCACATGTAAGACAATGATATCCTTAGAATATTAATTGGAACAAGATAAAAGGCTTCTTTTGTCTTTTAAGACATACTACCAGAAGAATCACTTTATGGACAATATCTCAGAAAAACTTTCTGCTTATTACTCAACAACAATAACAAAAAAATCACAAATGTGTGCAATTATTATAGTGAGTTTAAGTGAATTTTCCAGAAGGTAATCCAGGCAAAAAAAAAAATTGTATATATGCATTGGAATGAATGTTGGTCTACCAAATTGTATTGTCATCCCTAAGAACTTTTCCAAATGCGCAAAATGTACTCAAATTCTTAAGTTGAAAATCCTTTGCTTCTTTATGCCTTCTCACCACCCTTGCAACTGATTACCTTGCCTCTACCATAATTGAGCTGTCTGGAGAAGAGGAAGGAGTCAAGGGGGAAGGCACAAGAGCCAGGGGAAAGTTTTGTGGTCATTAATGGTTCCTGGGCCACAAGTTTCACTACCTTAAATACCATTTATCCTTTTGTTTAAAGGCAAATCAAAATATTTCATTTGGTCTATGAAATTCTTATACAGTTTTAAATTTAAAGTGAAATTCATGTTGCAGAAGGAAGAGATGAAGTTAGGGAAAATTTCCTATGGCAATTCAAATACACGTGTGTTATTGAAGTTATAGACTGTGTTTCCTAAATAGGTTTTAAAGAGGAGAAAAAAAAAAAAAAAAAAAAAAAAACTTCTGGGCACCCAGATGACTAGGAAGGCTTGCCTCCTGTTGGTCTATAATCTTAAAGGAAACTATTACATAGATGTTATAATTCATCTTAAAATAATACCCTTTAAGCACTTAGTATTCTAATAGTTAACATAATTTCCAATCCTAAAATAATCTTACAAGTATTAGTTTCTATATTTTCACAGGTCGGGAAAATGGACTCAAAGTTAAAAACACGACATCACTAGTAAGTAAAAAGACAGATTTGGGCCTAGGTCTGTCCAACTTCATAGCCTATTTCTATTATACAATACCATGGTTTGGCAATAAATTTCACTAAGTCTCCAATTCAGACTGCAAACAAGTTTAATATCTATTATCATATTTACGTAATTTTACTTGGTAATAGAAGGGAAAAAATAAACATGCTCCAAAGATTACAATAGGTCTTTTGCTATCCTGTGTTTATTTTGGTGAAACAAATGGAAACAATTGTCATCTCAAGATGATTTACTCTAAGGGCTATGAAAATCTTATATAGTATATACTAGAAAACAAACCACTTCTGCAACTTTAACACAAAATTGAGTACAATGGACCACATTATACATATCCTATACTTCTGAGAGATTTCTCAGGTATTTTTAATATAACTGTCTTTTAATTTTCATTAAAGTTTCATTCATATCTATAACTGTAATAACTTTAATACATTCTTCTCCAAATACCTCATATCACATTATGGTAGATAACTATAGCAAAAGATATGTTCCAGAACAGTCTCAATCTATAAAGTTCCTATAACCAATCACCATAACATCTTTAGGTCATCATGCACATTTTAAATAATTTGACATTTAAACAGAATTGAATCAAAATTCAGCAAATGAACCACACTACAGTGTTTGTCCCTTCTATCTAGTCTCAAGTAAAAAGACTTACCCCATGTTCCTTAGCAGCTGTGACAACTTTAAGGAGGACATCTTCCTCAACAAATGGTCTCACTGCATCATGGATAATCACTACTTCTGGCTTAGAGAGTTTAGAGTTGAGCTGATCTTCTGCCAGTGCTTTCAGTCCACTGAAAATTGACCTGTGGCGGGTCACTCCAGCTTCGACCAGTGAGATGCGTTCATGCTGATACTTCTGAATAATACTTTTCATGACTTCCATGTTCTCTCCAGTTACTGCCACAACAATGTCCTTTATCCAACATACTCTAAAAGGAAAGTATGTGTATAATTCATAAGTTAATTCTTAGACAACTAAAGTAACAGAAAATTGAATCACTAATATTAGTATATTTACATAGGGAGATTAAAAGCTGCAAGTGAATAAATCAGTTTTATGTATTTTTGTTAGGTCCAGTAAAGAGGTTGATGAAAAAGAATCAGTGAGTGTTTAACACTATAGCTCTAGACAGTGTTTCGTATTATGTAGCATATCCTATATGAGACAGTATATGTATATAGTATATAGTACTACCAGATGTCATTTTTTAAATTTGAATAATTAGAATATCAGATTGTATGAAAAATAGCCTATAGTAGGAATATGCTTTTAAATTTTTCCAAATACTTTTCCCTTCAATGAAACAATTCAAAGCACTTTTGACATCCAAAAGTTGACTGTCTCTTTCAAGAATTCCACCGAGATGGCAGCCAACCACTTGAACACCAACAAAGCTGGAAAACTTAGCTAACACAAGCCTTGCTAAATATGTACCTTAAATGGGACCATCATAATTAATATTGTAGCAATAAGGTTTAAGTAAAGTGGAAAAGCTTACAATTCATGAAAGATGATTGTTCTATTGAGTCATATATAAAACATAAAGCCATGTTTCTCTTCTAAAACATGCTCAAGACAGAGTCTCACTCTGTGCCCCATGCTGGAGTACAGTGGCACCATCTCAGTTCACTGCAACCTCCGCCTCCTGGGTTCAAACGATGCTCGTGCCCCATCTCCCAAGTAACTGGGATTACAGGCACCTGCCACCACGCCCAGCTAATGTTTGTTTTTTTTTTTTAGTAGAGACAGGGTTTCACAATGTTGCCCAGGCTAGCCTTGAACTCCTGACCTCAGGTGACCCACCCACCTTGGCCTCCCAAAGTGTTGGGATTACAGGTGTGAGCCACTGGGCCCAGCCTGTAAAACATTTTCTTAAAGAAGGACCTACTGACATACTAGACTGCAAGTAGTCCACATTACTGAGTTGCTGCTGCATTCGAGTCTGGTAGACTTGTCTGGAACACCAGTGCAAATGGAGGCAAGTGTCACTGTAGACTCAACATACCACAGCCCAAAAGCCCAGACCAAGACAACTATCTCTGACTCATGATATCAATTCTGAATAAAGAATTAATGTTTAATTCTTAGCCTATGAGATCCTATACTTTTCATGCTAAAACAGTTAAGTCTTTAGAATCTTTTTAAAGACATGGAAGGGCCTGAATATTACTGCAGAAAGATGACCTTTACTGAGAAATGAAAGTGAACATTGGGCTGCTTCACTCAGTAATGTCTCCTACCTCTTGTTATTGAACAGACCCTTTCCACAACCCAAAACCCCATTCTGCCTGTAGCTAAAACAAGACTACCCTGATGAACAAAACCAAGAGCTACTTTAGAGGTGACACTGCCTTTTCATTTGAAGCCCATTTCTTTAATAAATTTTATTGAGCACCAATACATTATCAGCATCAGCTGGGCACGGTGGCTCATGCCTGTAATCCCAGCACTTTGGGAGGCTGAGGCAGGTGGATCACTTGAGATCAAGAGTTCGAGACCAGCCTGGCCAACATGGTGAAACCCGTCTCTACCAAAAAAACAAAAAATTACCTGGGTGTGGTGGCACACAACTGTAATCCCAGCTACTCGAGAGGCTGAGACAGGAGAATCACTTGAACCCAGGAGGTGGAAGTTGAAATGAGCCAAGATCGTGCCACCGTACTCTAGCCTGGGCAACAGAGCAGGACTCTGTCTTCAAAAAACAAAAAAAACAAAACCTATCGAGGATATACAATAGAAAAAATAAACTCAGACTTACAGACAACGGAAACAAGAAACACCACATCAACAATTGCAAGCCATGAGATCCACAATGAGAAGAAGTCCACATTCAAGAACACAAGAAGGCCTGAGTAGCTTAACAGTTCTGGGAAGGCGCGTTTGGGGGCGGTTCTAACAAAGGAAAGGAGTTGTCATTGAGACACAGGGATGGGGTGGCAAGGATAAGCAGCAAAGGGGGCTAGGAGAGAGGGAGAGAGACTGGTCCCAAGTAAGCCACCGGGCAAAGGTCCTCATCGGGCTGAGAGGAAGCGGAGCTGGGAGTCCCCCCGAACAGAGAAGTGCCGCATGCAGAGCCCTGGAGACCCCACGTGCCCAGGAGGTGGGCCAGAATCCTAGGAGTGTTTATAACACTTTTAATCCTAAAAAAGAGGATAGCCCAGCCATAGAAAAGCTTTCAAGGCAGGTGGAGTACACTCAGGCCAAAAACCATACTCACTCAATCACATTCTAATAGCAAAAGTTTGGTAAACAGAATCAATGAACCTCAGAAAGAAGGTGGCACTTCTTAACTCTGCAACCAGTGACTTATCGTACCTTAAATGGCAAACAGGACTTTGCCAGAGGTGAAAGGATTGTGAGACAGGAGATGGGTCCTGAAAATATCTAGGTGGATGCCTAATGTAATCCACAAAAAGTCCTTATAAAGAAGGAGTGTCACAGAAGTCACTGGCTAAGAAGTGATGACAGAACCAAATGGAGACTATTGCCAGGGGGCCCCCAAGCCATAAGACATGAGTGCGTCTAAGAATTTTGTTTTGAAAAAGAGTCCTGTCACCCAGGCTGGAGTGCCCAGTGGGCGCAATCTTGGATCACCCAACCTCTGAACTCCAGTTCAACGAATTCTCCTGCCTCAGCTCTCCCAAGTAACTGGATTACCAAAGCCACCTGCCACCAGCACCCTGGCTTAAGTTTGATTTCAGTCGAGATAAGGTTCCCACCATAAGGGCCAGGTTGGTCTCTAACTCCTGACCTCACGGTGGATTCCACTCCACCTCAACCTCCCAAAAAAGTGCTGGGATGTATAGGTAAGCATCCATGGCCAGCCTCTAGAATTTAGAGAAAGGCAAGGAAATGGATACTACCCCAAATCTTCCAGAAGGAATGCAGTTTTGCCAACACCTTGACACAGCACAGTGAAACTAAATTGAGACTTCTGACCTCCAAAATTTTAAGAGAATGTGGTTTTAAGCCGTTGAGTTTGTGGTAATTTTTATAGCAGCAATAGGAATCACAAGAGCATAAAGTTTACTCTGACTGCAGGGAGGAGAAAGGATTCAGCAAAGACAAAAAGGATGCAGAGAGACCAGTTAGGAGGTGGCTGCTGTAATCTGGGCAATGCAATGATGGTCACTTGGGTACCACGTGGAGCTGGTATATGGCGTTTTAGAAATAGTCTATTCTAGAGGTAACCATCTACATGAGTCAGGAAGAAAAAGTGGCAAAATAAGACAAGTATCACATAATAATAGGCGATATAAATTAAGCACTATGTCTTAAACATTTTTTATATTTTAACTCTTGTAATCTTTACAATACCTCTACACAATCTCTCATACAAGAGACAAAAAGATCAGAATATACAAAGACATTACCTTTTTCTATACTACCATCTTATTCTAAAAAAAAATGAAGCAGTAAGAAATTTTTACCATTTTTCAAAATAATACATCATTTCATTTTATTTCCTCTTCTAGAATTAGGCTCCATCATAGAGACAATGTCTGCTTTATCCATTGCCTTACACCCAACTCCTAGTGGGTGCTCAGTACATTATTTGTTGAAAATGACTCTAGTCTGTCTCATCTACCGGGGGCAGTATAACATCTTACAACACAGCATAGTCTCAAGGATTATGAAAACAAAGGAGGCTCTCATCACCCCGACTAGCTACAAATATATAAATAAATCTAAGAATGAAAACAGCATTCCCTATGCACTGTGATTTTGTTGATTGTTTTGTTTCTAGGTATTTGACTCTCTGCTCTGATTTCTAGGTCCTAAGGCCCCTCGAGAGCTGAGATTACTTTCATGTTTCACACATCTTGGGAGGATTTTAATCACAATCAAAAATAATTCAATTCAGAACTCCAAAGAACAATCTGTAGTAATCTATACAGGCAATGGAAGTGATTCTGGAATAAGACTAAACATGGGTTGTTCTTTGTTTTGTAGTCCATTTCCTAGGCCTTTCATTGCAAATTTAGCAATTGCAGAACTTACACTGCACTCACAGTTTCAAATTAAAGTTACTAGCAAGTGGTGAGCGACAGTTCTTCAATCCCTCTTCAACGTGAGATTTCCCAAGGTTCTGGCTCCACTGCCACAGCTGTGACCCAGACGGTCATCTCTACCATAATTTACTGCACTAGCCCCTTAGTTGTTCCCTCTTACTCTTCTTATCCCAATACAATCCATTCTCACCACTTCTAGATGATCTTTCTCAAGCACAAATCTGAGGTCATCCCCTGCTGGCTCTTGGGCAAGACCCTTCAAGACCTGACCTCAGCCTACTTCATGCACATCACTTGGTCTCTTCCCTGCCCTCTTACTGTCACACCCAGTGCTCCCTGAAGGGAAGGCAATCTCTCACACTCAGGTATTTGCATGCGCTGCTTACCTGGCCTGTCAACACTGTCCCCATCCCTCTCTCTTCCCTAACTGCCCCACCTCCCTGCCGGCCCTGCCCGAGTCCTACTTACTCATCAGTTCTCAGTTCAGGGATGGCTCCCTCCAGGAAGCTTTCCCTGACTGCCATTCTGCATACAACATCCCCGCTTCTCAGTTTGCAGACTGCTTATACACATAGAGTCTTAAGGACTATACTGCACTCTGTTTATAACTTTATCTTCCTCACTAGGCTGCCAACTCATAGAAAGCAAAAACTATGTCCCAGAACTTACCACATACTCAACTTTCAGTAACATAGTAGAAATAACACCTAAAACATATGGAATGTTTGCTAGGTACCAGGCAATCAATATGTAGACTATTTCACCTGCAATATCTCAATATCCATATCAGCTCTGTAAAGCACATTATCATAATCTCAGCTTTACACATGAGGACACAGGCAGTAACCTGCCCATAATCACACAGCTCAGAGACTAAGGGACCAAGCTGTGACCTCCAGTCTGACTTTGGAGCCTA